ATCCTCCATCAAATTGCATATAGGTAACAAGGCTCGTGTAGTCCTTCAGGTGTGTTAACCTCCAACAAATTACACATATGATGAGGGTGTATGCGTACTCCTCAAGGCGGGGTTAACCCCGGGAATGTAAACTATGATTGCGAGGACGGATAGTCCTCGAGGTAGGTGAACCTCAAGGTAATGATTTTAAATGATTAAACATGCTTGATCGGGAACGAGTTCCCGATAGGGTATTTTTCCTTGGTCTAGGAATTTAATTTAAACCATGTCCATGATATGGGAGCTCGAAGGCCCCCACAATAATTATCTTTTGTTATAGGGTTAGTTAGCCTGCGGGTGACTCCACTCGATGGTAAGACATGGGAAAGGTGAATTTAATGAGGGTTTTACGCCTAAATGATATGAAAGACAACTGGGCCCACGGGCCGAATATTTTACTCATAAGTATATATGTATACTGTATGTTTGAAAGGGGGTAGCTAAGAGTTATGCCTATACATATACTATCACCCTATGTTGAGGGTCCCATATGAGAAATGTTAGTTATATTACATACAGTTTGCCCTCGCCAGTACTTTTCTGTAGTGTTGATCCCTCGGGGGAACCACCATTTCAGGTTGAAGTTAGAGCTTACTTCCTGCACCCGTTGTTCGGGAGATCGATGGAGAGAAGACGTGGTTCGTGCTTCCTCCGATTCTATTTCTAAATAATTAAATAATGCTCATGGAACTATTTTTGACTTATAAATTAATGGAGCCTGCGAGCTCTTGTTTTACCCTTGTGTGGGTTCTTATTAAACACTTATATTCCACTATGTGTTCAATTGTATGTTGATGTTGTTATGTATGTTTACTAATCGGTTTTGGCATATGTATCTATCAGACATCTTGTGCAATTTAGTAAGGATGAACTGCGGTTATTCTTATTGGGTTGTACGACGGTTGTCTATGTGGCACAGACGCGGTTTGGGGAATGACAGATCGTATCCATAGGGAAAATGATATTTCTCTTTTATGAAATAGTAACAAAGGGGGTTTTAAGATTGATTTGATTTAATCAATTTTAACATTAAGATGAACGACTTATGTGGTTTACTAAAATAGAGATTGAGACTTAATTTTGCTTATATCGACTTAATGAAATGTTCGTCGATCCCGGTTAAATCTTTAACTATTTTCCTCTCGAATACTCAATCGTGGAGTATCTCTAATTCATCGAGAGTAGTTATTAATAAAAAGACCAGTTCATTAATAAACCTTACTATCAAGTAAATATAAAACATGCGCCGTGATGGATTATATGGTATCCAAACATACATAAAATGGAGAGATTGAGCTCAAGAGAGGGGAGAAGATGATGAATGGTAGAATATTTGTATGGAGTATGAATTAAGAACTAGGGTGACAAGTCTCCCAAAGGGAGTATAAATAGACAAATAATGGGCCGGGCCGCTAATATGGGCCTGATAGGCCCAACTACATAAAAGACTAATCTAGTACATACAAATGATATATGAACTCTACAATAATACTACAAATGATATAAATGACATCCGATAAACGTGATTGGGCCCCTGTCCGGGCCCAATAGTCGTGAGACCCGTGTCTATATACTCTATCAGGAGTCCCCCACTCCCTGAGTCGAGAGTACTCGAGGCGAAAGGGAGTAGAACTGTGTGCTGATCTGTCGTCGTCTGGTGAGTAAACTTCGCGAAAAAAATTGAGACGCGAAGTCCCCCGCTCTTCCAGTCCCCCACTCCTTGAGGTGAATGTAGTGAGGTGAAGAGGAGTAGAGTAGTGCATGTCTTGTGATGTCTTCAATAGGGACTGAGGGTCGAAACCTTTTGTCCACATTGGGGAGATGCCTCGTTAAAAACCTCAATAGGAAAAAACTCTGTGGGAAAAAATCCTAATGAGGGAAAAAGAGTACATCGGATGCCCCCAAAATGAAGCAAAAGGGGTGAACCCTTCGGCCTGGGTGTGGAACTGCAACCATCGGCATCTGCTAAGGGGATGGCCAAGATCGGTCCTCGTATGTGCGTAGCTCGGCATGATAGGTAGTCCTAGTCATCAAATAAAGATGACTAAGAGATAGGTCGAGTGACCGTTCATAATATGATGTTCGGGTCATCAAACAAATTGACTGAGACGTGTTGCTGGGGGCCTATAAGAAGTCCAAGCCATCAAATAAAGATGACCAGGAGAGACGGCTAAGTGGCCGGTATGATGTCATCATTCAGTTGCACCTATGCATTCAAATAAAATTGTTATAATTTCTTGAGCTTATAATTTGCAATTCGATTTGGGCCTAAATTAAGTTGCCCCAAATTTCCAAGCTAGGGCTCAAGCTAGATTTCTATGCCTAGTTGAGCGTGGCACGCATAAAGGATTGAACCTGCCGCCAAGGGATTGCAGTTCATTTCCGATAGATAGAGGGCACACATAACTCGTACAAAACATAGAAACTAGAGTATGTATTAGATAACATCTAGATTGGGAGCTTACTATCCACACTCGTTTGACGTGACCCGGTGGTGCAAGATTTTAGCTCTCTTCCGGTGTACGCGAGTGCTCGGAATTCATAAGTCCATTTTTTCAATGTCAAAAAATACATACTATTTTAAAAAACATAATGATAGTAAATTAATAATCTAGCTCAACTTGTCAATCAAGTTCGTAGCTGGGATCCACTAGACGCTATTTACGGGTCTTTTCATGGATGACTCGCCCCTCAAGATTGAAGTTTGATGCTATATTATTAAAATATTTCATTTTATGATTTTTTTGTAATAATTTTTTATCAAATATGTTCACATATTAATGTATGGATATAGTTGTGGAGTACTTAGCTTTTAAGTTAGGTTGCCCGAAATAACTGCTACGGCCAGGAGAATGACTTAAATGTTGATGGGCGGCCCACTTAATCAACTTTAGCTTAAGTAATGGGCTCCCCCAGCCCGTGTAGCTCTTTGTTGTGACCTGGAGAATTTTCTTGATACAGGAGTCCTTTTACGTTTGCGTGAGTCCAAGTCGCAGGTAGAATCGTGGAAGGCAGCAGCTGGGGGCCTTTCATGGAGAAGAATATCAGCCCATTTACAGATGGCGGTGGGCCTTATCTTGGCACGCTCGAGCGTATGTCTCTGTCCCTGGAGCCCTAGCATCTGCCTGAGATTAGAATCTCGAGACCCAGACCATTACCGTCATCCCCCGAGCTTTAGCGAGCCTTGCCCCAACATTTCCAGATTTGGGGTGTGATCTTAGGCAAAATCGGCTGTTATTGTTGTCCGTTGTTATTGTAGATCCTTGGGTCACGAGCAGAGCTTCCAAACCACCATTTTGGCGGAAACCTTGCACGAGACTTGGGGCAAACAGGGGCAAAGAGGCAGACTGATGGCCGGCGAAGTGGTAGAGCCAGCTGCCATAGGTGTCCAACGATGTTGTAGCTGCAAGAACGAGCTGGGAGCGGCGAATCGGCGAAGTGGCCGGGGCGTAGTGACCAGGTGGCGGCGCTGTGGCAGAGCAGGCAGAGTTTACACTCAGGACCGTTCACCGGCTGCCGCTGGGTTGGTCCGCACCTGAACTACGAGCGTCCATCCTTTCCAGATCTCGAACTTCAGAGTTTTTCTCTTTGCTGATAATTCTAGAATTGTTTTTGCTTGATTTGTTTTGTATGTTTTGGGAGGATTTCTTACTTGATTTGCTCAAAACTCTCAATGAAAGCACCATTGATGGATTATAGGGCATCCAAACATATATAAAATGGAGAGATTGAGGTCAAGAGAGGGAAGAAGATGATGAATAGTAGAATATTTGTATGGAGTATGAATTAAGAACTAGGGTTACAAGTCTCCCAAAGGGAGTATAAATAGACAAATAATGGGCTAGACCGCTAATATGGGTCCGATAGGCCTAACTACATAAAAGACTAATCTAGTACATACAAATGATATATGAACTCTACAATAATACTACAAATGATATAAATGACATCCGATAAACGTGAGTGGGCCGCTGTCCGGGCCCAATAGTTGTGAGACCCGGGGGTCCGAGTCTATATACTCTATCACGCCGTATATTGACCCGATAGGAGCAATAAAACTTAAGATTAAATCGATTGCGATTGATAACCTCAACACAAGCGATTTATTGGTTTAATCAATATAAATAATTTTCTTTAGAATATTAACCATGAGACGCATGCATTAAAAATCAAGTTTACTACTGTAAAAGGATCGAACGATTAACAAGTGTATTCGTCGATCGATTCTAGCAATAATTAATATATGAAACAAAATCAGTTGATCCTTTAAGTAATGCTCAAATATTAGTATGAAATATGAATATGAATGTAATTAATATTCAAGGAAGATGATTAAAGAAAATGACTCACAACTTACAAATCATAAGTTTCAATGTAGCAAAATCAAGATGGAAGGGTTTAACACCTTATTTGGAGACTAAACAAACCGGAAAATATAAAGGAAATACTTGTCTAAACTCAGCTTAGAAGTATATGAGAATTGGCGATTTTAATGTGAAGGTAAAGGGGTGTATTTATAGGTGTTTGGAGGTGGCAGAGTCATATACCCGACCGGGTATGTAGGGTACTCGATCGGGTACCAAAGGCTGCTTCCCGGAAGGTGTAAAAATCACACATACCCGATCGGGTATGTCGGTCTACTCGATCGGGTATGAGACCAGATCTTCAATAATTTTTCAGCCACGTTCAATTGTTTTCGGATTTGATTTTGATAAGCGAATTCGGTCAATATCCGACCGGGTATTGAACATACCCTATTGGGTACATGAACAAAATTCCAAATCTTCATTTGATTGTCCCCTTTTGCATGTTCTTTGGTCTTTAGGATCCACCATTTGATCCTTTGGATGATTTTGACATGTCCTAAGCTCTGAATAATCCTAATCTAAATAAATTAGTAATATTTTGATAAATTAAAGTATTACACCAAAAGTGTGTAACTTCCAAAATAACATGCTACAAAACTAATTAAAAATGCAAACATAGAGTTGAAAATTACAAGAATATCAATGTACGTTTACGTTTACTTAATTTGAGATGTACAAAACATAAATCACAAAACATAAATCCAAACAATGATATACATGAACGTTTAAACCATACTTCGATCCGGTTCGATCTGATATCGGTTCTCATTTTATGAGAATCGGTCATGACATGGTTTGAAACCGATACGATCCGATTCGATGCAATAATTTCGAAATCCATTTCAAACCCAGTTTCTTGGTTCGATACCATACCGATTTGGTTCGGTACCATGCCGGTTCGATATTTTTGTCACCCGACCACCCGTAACTCAGAAATTCAGAATGGGACCATAACAATGTCGCAAAACCAAACGCTGCCCTAAACAGAATCGCCGAGACGCCCATGCCGTCAATACCGTCAATCTATAAAATCTCCAAATCTCAATACACGTTTGCGTGATCAATCGATTCGATCTAAAATCTTCTCCGTGAAACCTTTACTGCAATGGCCGGAAATGCTAACCTTAATTCGAGGCCCACGGTGTACCTACAAGACGCCAACGAGGTTGAGAGAGTGTTCGAGAAGTTCGATGCGAACGGAGACGGTAAGATCTCAGCGGAGGAGCTTTCGGGCGTTATGAAGGACCTGGGATCATCCATCTCGTCGGAGGAACTGAAACAGATGATGGATGAAATCGACACCGACAAGGACGGATTTATCAATCTACAGGAGTTCGCCGATTTCTGCAAGGGAGATGGAGACGGCGACGGTGACGGAGGCTTAAAGGAGCTCCGCGAGGCCTTCGATTTCTACGACGCAGACCAAGACGGCTTGATCTCCGTCGCTGAGCTGAAAAGTATCCTCAGCCGCCTGGGCATGGGTTGTAGCGCCGAGGATTGCTCCAATATGATCAAATCCGTGGATTCCGACGAAGACGGCAGCGTTAACTTCACGGAGTTCAAGAAGATGATGACGAACAAGCAGTAGCCGTCGATTCGACAGATTGTTAGTTACGGAGTGCGGACGTCCGTTATCACTTCTGCCTTAGAATATTATCAAGGAGTAATTAATAGAGTACAATAATAAGAAGAATATATTTACCGAGTATTTTAATACACTACACTTTTTTTTACTGTGAAACCACCTATTGCTAGAGTAAGCATTGGGAAATATTTACCTTATTTATTAAAATAACAGTTGTGAGTATAGAAAAAATGAGTTTTTTTTCGGATTAATGCGAATTAATTAAATATTTATTGCAATAATGTTGGGTTAAACGTATTTACGGGTCTACTGCTAGGCCTAACCCGGGTTAGGCAAAGCCGTCAAACGGTTTGATGACTTTCCCCTTTCCAAAAACGTTAACACTCAAACTCTCTGTTTCAGATCGGCGCCAGTCAGAGACCAACACAACACAGGCCAGTCAGGAGCCCCCCGGTGGCGAAAATTTTCGTTTTTCATCCTAAATCGATACCGATTGTCGCAATTCACCGTTTGACGACTTCCAGAACACATACAAAACACAATTTGATAGAAATGATACAAAGCGACACATCTGCTCAGAAATACACTATAAAAACAACGTATAAACATCTGATATGCATAACCAAACACATCAACACATCATAAATAAATGAAAAAACACTAATAAAAGAATATACATTAGTTTGAAGGTGAAAATACGTTATGAAGTGTTTCTACAACATTTGGTGTACATGAGTAAATCCAATAATAGAGACTACAAGTTTTCATGGTCTTCTTGATCGTCTTGGTCATGGAGATGTAGTTGTTGAGGCATACGCCTACGTCGCTGTCGTGGTTGAAGAACAACTCTTTCCCTCTGAGTCTGAGATGTAGAACCCACCGTTGATGCTGATGATGTCGATGTCATATAATCTTGAGAGGGGGTCATATTTATAAGATGTCCATAGTCCACTAGGTCCAACACATCTGAACACAACGAAGCAATGCCCGTCAGAACCTGACCGTACGTGTCCATGTCATGCGTATAATTCACTGTGGCAGTCGCTCGCTCATGTATACGCTGCAAAGCCCGTATCTGAAATGTGAAACATGAATTATACCCCCTCCCGTCTCGCTAAGATTGTGCCATACCAAATTTGGTAAAGATTGTGTGACTCTAAACCATTCTTACTTTATCAATTTAATATCAACCACACAAACCCACTTTTCTTAATAATCGTGTCACCTTCTCTCGTCCCAATCTTAGTGGGACGGAGGTAGTAATTATTTTGAAATAAATATAAATCTTAAAATAAAGAACATGAAATACTTTAGTAATTATTAGCACACTCACCGTCAAGTGTAAAGCTATGGAACTAGGCTGGTAATGGTGAGTAGGGAGTCTTAAAGAAGGAGAGACAAACAACCGTGTGATGTTGTAGTACCATCTCATGTAGTATACAGAAACGGATGGGACTAATGTAGGCGTCCCAGTCACAACAAGCTCTGCTCGCCTCTCCCATACAGTAACGTATCTGACATGTCTGAGCGATCAATCCTCTGTAGGCTTCCCATGCCTATCCAGCTTATGAAGATCTACACATGTGTCGACAGGTGCTGGAATGACCTGCTCATAGCCAAATTGCCGCAGTACATGATCCGGCAAATGAAGCTCAACAATGTCAAAACAGATCAACAGGACACGTGCTCGCCATATATCATAGTGCTCTCGTTCTGCCCGGGGCAACTCCTCTAACATCTGGGATGTATATGGCATGCATGTAATCTGTTTGAAAAGCCCATAAATTTAGTCTTACTGCTTTTCATATGATAGGTAATGTTATATAATGTACAACAAACCTGATCATCCGACATGCGATCAAATGCATCTCTATAGAAACCGAGTCCTATAGCCGATGATGCGCGAGAAAGATTAGCAAATAGCCATCTAACCATTCACGTAGTACATATTAATATAAATATAATTCATATAATTATTCGGAACATACAATAACATAAATATAATCTTGTAAAACATACATACGCCCCAGAGGGTCCTCGCCCCGTCGATGATGTGGTCCAAGGAGATGTGGAGGCTAGTCATGAAGTGGGAGTCCATCTGGCCCATGGTATCGTGATATAATGGGACGCCCAATGTGAATGTACTCCCGTGACCAAATCTGTAAGAAAAGCAAAAAAAACAACCTCCATGCTCCCACTTTGACAACATCGACAAAGCTGCCTATAAATATACGCTAGAGTAGCACTACCTCAACTGAAGTGTGCATCTATATCAAATATCTCTAGCATCAGCAATGGCATCACCTGAACCTCATTTCCGCTCTATATCAAATGCGGTGACAGTATGGTGTTTTGTCTTGTCCTTATTCTTGTCAATGATATTTGTTATGTATGGGGAGTACTCATGGCCTTCTGTCACTCTTCTTTTACTACTTTCACGTCTATCAACAAAATATGCATTGACGCGGTAAAAGAAAACGTGAACCAAAGCTGTAACACCCTTCCTTCACAAAACTCCCTCGTATAGGGGCGGAGCCACTTTGACAACTCTCACTTGTCTTAATCAATTGATTTAAATATCACTATATAAATAAATGGAGTTGATTCAACATCAACTTTTTGTCTTATCTATTTTAATGGTCTGTGATGGGAAAAACAGCCACAAACGGTAACTAATAAAATGCGGAATTAATTTTCGTTTGGCTAAACTTTCCCAACTTTAATGAACCTTTGAGGATGCAAATAAATAGGGTGTTCTTAATCCAATTAAAACACGCACAATACCACTTCTATGCACCAAGATATTGAGCTAAAAACAGTAAGCACACACAACACAAAGACACCGGAATTTTAGCGTGGAAAACCCATAAACTAAGGGAAAATCACGGGACCATTTTGGCTGCTTAAATCCACTATCATCATCAAAGGAGAAATACAAAGTCTTCTCTAGATAATACTAGAGGCATAAAATATCATCATATCCTTGGAATAAGCACATCAAAGTGTATGGAATCAAAGTAGAGCCAAGATAAGAAAAATATCACCAGAAAAATAGCTATTATCCAGACCAAAGAAACCCAACCTACGGACCTCAAAACCCGATCTCCACCGTCCAGAATGTTGGCCCAAATGCTGTGTAGTTTCTGTCCAAAACTCACGACAATCCAACAGTTCAATCTCCGGGAAACGAAACGTTTCTGCTGCTGCCTGCTGAAAAACGGGATGAGCTTCAGCTCACGTTTTTGTGACTTTGCTATCTCGATCCTTTTCTCTCTTTTGGTCCTTGTGTTTTAGATAGTGGTTCACCCCTTTTTTAATAGGAAGCTCTCAAAATAGAAAGTCCAAATAAAACTTTAATGACTCAATAGTTGGGCTTTCCTCATGGGTCAAAAACAAAGAAAGAACCCAACAGTCTATTGTGTTTATATACTCTTTTGAATAATATTCTCTCCACATTGAAATGTTTGCAACACTTTTTTTCGGATGTATTTTCCGGAGTAATTTTTATTTTAGGTAAATTTCCATATAAGGGGCTTAGTTATTATTTCATATCTCAAGGTCCGAACAACATTCATGTTAATGGAAATAATTACTACTAATCATCATCCATCTGTTCTCTTAAACCCTGTGCTAACTTGACTGTTGACACAATTAATAATAAAAGGTGTGTGTGTTATAAACTCAAACAAGTACATAAAATACTGCATTATGTTGGTGTTGTAAATTAAACTTGTTTTTGGGCCTAATTAATATTTACTTTAGTTGTTGTTGGGAAGGCACAAATGATAAAAAAATGTAGAAGGAAAAACTTCTAGAGCTTCTCTAGAAGATAAGGTCCCTAGAACTCTCCTGTCATTAATTGTATAGAATTGTCTAGAATACATTAATTATAGAAGAGTCTAGATACTTTTAACTAGTATAAATAGTGCTCCTCTGCCACCACTTTGTATTAAGCAAATCAAGCAAATTGAGTTGTTCTAATAAAAAAATTCTTCCCCTTTGTTCAAATATCTCTTCCATAATATTTCTAATTTAGCCTCCCAATTTCCTAAATTTTCCTTCACTTATTTCCAACAGTGGTATCTGAGCTCGTTCGATCATCACCCAAAAATGGCTGATTCCCTTCAAGTTCCTCTACTAAAAAAGGAAAACTATGATAATTGGAGCATTCGTATGAAGGGAATACTTGGTTCGAAAGATGTATGGGACATGATAGAGGAAGGCTTCGAGGAACTCGAGGACATCAATGCCTTAAATCAAAATCAAAACAATGCCTTGAGGAGTACTAAGAAGAAAGATCAAAAGGCGCTCTCTATCATCCATCAAGCTTTGGATGAAGTCATGTTCACAAAGGTGGCATGTGCAACTACAAGCAAAGAAGCTTTGGAGATATTAGAGAATTCATTCAAAGGAGTAGATAAGGTGAAGAAAGTAAAACGTCAAAGTCTTCGAGGTGAGTTTGAATCTTTAAACATGAACTCTTCGGAATCTATTGATGACTATTTCTCAAGAGTTCAAACTGTCGTGAATCAACTAAGAAGATATGGAGAAGAAATCAAAGACAATCACGTGGTTGAAAGAATTCTACGGTATTTAGATTCAAAATTTGATTACATAGTTGTGGCAATAGAAGAATCTAAAGATCTAGAAACAATGACAGTTGATAATCTCTTGGGATCTCTTCAAGCTCATGAAGAAAAACTCAAGAAGAGAATAAAGCAAGAGCCTTTGGAGCAAGCCCTTCAAATCAAGCTCACCTCAAAAAATAAAGAGATTTTCCAAGAGGGAAGAAGTCAAAGTTCAAAAGGGCGCGGTCGAAGCCAAGGCTATGGAAGAGGAGGTTATAAGACTTTCAACAAAGAAAAGAGAAGTTCACATTTCTATCAATCAAGAAGCCGTGGAAGAGGAGGTTTTTCGAGACCAAGGTATGATAAGTATCAAGTTCAATGTTATACTTCGTAATTTTCAAAAATTTGGTCACTTTGCCTTCGACTGTAGATTGGCAAAAAATAAAGTTGAGGAGCGAACAAATCTTGCCAGAGAAGAAGAAGAAAATTCAACATTGTTGATGGCCCATAAAGGAGGAGAAAGTGACACCAAAACAACATGGTACTTAGATACGGGAGCAAGCAACCACATGTGCGGGAAGAGAGATATGTTCGTCGAGCTTGATGAACCGGTAAGTGGAAATATTTATTTTGGGGATGAATCAAAAATTCTGGTAAAAGGAAAGGGGAAAGTTTCTATCCGGTTGAAAAATGGAAAGAATTATTTCATCTCTAATGTCTACTATGTGCCCAAACTGAAATCAAACACTTTAAGTTTGGGGCAACTTTTAGAAAAGGGATATGACATTCATATGAAAAATCATACCCTTTTGATGAGAGATAAAATAGGAGTTTTGGTTGCTAAAGTACCAATGTCAAAAAATAGAATGTTTTCACTAAACATTGAAAAAGGGGAGCTAAATGTTTGAAAGCATGTTTTAAAAATGCATCATGGCTTTGCCATTTGAGGTTTGGGCATCTTAATTTTGGAGGTTTAAAATTGTTGAATGTCAAAAATATGGTGAAAGGTTTGCCCAAAATAAATGAACCTAATCAATTATGCGAGGGATGTTTATTTGGAAAGAAACCAAGGAAAAGTTTTCCAAAGCAAGCATCTACAAGAGCAAAACAACCATTAGAGCTTGTACACACGGATATATGTGGACCAATAAAACCAAGCTATCTCAGAAATAGTAACTTTTTTGCTCTTTTCATTGATGATTTTAGTCGGAAAACTTGGGTTTCTTTTCTAAAACATAAATCCGACGTTTTTGGGGCTTTCAAGAAATTCAAAGCTATTGTTGAAAATGAAAGCGGACATAAAATAAAATCCCTGAGATCCAACCATGGGGGGGGGGGGGTTCACTTCAAAGGAGTATGAAAATTTTTGTGAAGAAAATGGTATTTATCGCCCCTTAACGGTTCCATATATTCCACAAAAAAATGGAGTTGTTGAAAGAAAAAACTGGTCTCTACTTAACATGGTTCGAAGAATGCTCAAGACCAAAAATATTCCAAAAGAATTTTGGGCCGAAGCTGTAGATTGTGCGGTTTATTTGTCAAACCGATCTCCTTCTAGAAGTGTTTGGAACAAAACTCCCGAAGAAGCATGGAGTGGAAAAGTTAGTCCCTGTTTCTGTAACAGCAATGAATAATCGATCTAACAAGGAAGATTAAACGTAAGGATGAACACAGAATGAATCACCGTAAGACCTTCTTTGATAAACCGTGAACTCCTACAACAGAATGATATGCGCGTAAGGCTATGAATAATAAGTACGACGTTAACCTATTCCTAAACCTCGGCTCCCTTTTTATAGGCGAGGTTTAGGTTAGGTGTACCAGGCTTTTAGCCTGTTTATATGGGCCTAACACTTGGCCTGATTTCTATCTAAATCATGCACTAATTAAATACAAGGATTAAATATAAAGCTAATCTATGACCAACTTGATTCACAATTAAATATCTCCAACAATCTCCCCCTTTGTGATCAAGTGCCATTCTCTTATTGCTTCTGAGATTTGAAGTAGTGCTTCTTCATACCAAGTGCATGTTCATATTGCCTCAACACATTTCTCTTTTCGAGGCGATCGTCAATGACCTTTAGAATAGTCTCTACTGTAGAGTGTTCCTTTTGAACATAAGATGATGCATCTTGAAGATTTTTCTCTAGCTCTGCCTTCATCTTTAGAATATGTTCTTTGATTATCTTCAGTGTTCCGTCACAGTACTTCTCAATTTCACTGACTACCATCAGACGCTTTTCGTTCTTGTGGTTCAGATAGGTGACTGTTGGCGGTGTGAAGAAGATGTGGTAGGCTGGGAAATCTTCAAGTTCTGGACCATACAGTCTTGGCTTTGTCAGATTTGTCTTTTTCAGATTGCACTCAATAGCCATCTGTAGGTCATGTGAAGAGTGTACTCGGATCTGTCTAAGCATGAATCTCTTGATAGCTGCGAGGCCTTCGCTGTATATTATGCTTTGCCTGACTGGAAGGTATCTGTAGGCCATGAACATTTGGTAGATGTCATCCGGTTTCAGCATGATGAAGTCGTTCTCTTGACAAGTAAATTCGCTCCCATCGGTGCGTTGAAGTCTGTAAGTGTAGAATGTTACTCCATGATAGTCTTCAGCCTTCACTTGTAGAATTTGATGAATCGGGAGAATATTCGACTTCAGATCTTGTTCCATCAGTTCTCTTTGTGTACCGGTTGACCTTTGTAGCAACATATGCAGATGACCTCCAGCCTGCTTTCCTTTTAAGTGAGTAAGGCCTCTTAGCTTCAGTTCATTCAGTGGCTTGACTCTGTCTGGTCTACGCCAGATATGCTCTCTGATTTCTTCTTGGAAGGGGGCTTTGATGCGAACATTATCCCAGGGTTTCTCTGTCTTGGGAAGTCTTCCCGCTGTTTGTCTTACGACCGATTCAAGAGTCTTCTGGGATTCTTTGTACTTCTCCCCTTCCTTGCGTTCATCGTCCTCGAGCCTTATAATATCTTCAGAGCATCTGTTGATTAGCTCTCGTAGCCACCAGTTTCTTTGCATGTCCTCTTGTTCGGCCTCAACCCGAAGATCATACCATTCTGTCCATTTTCTTGGCCATTTGTCATATATCACCGCCTCTTCCAGTGCATCATGGATGTCTTTGCCTGGGGAAATATATGGAATTCTTTGTTCAGGCGGTGATTGTTCCTGAGTAGCACTACCGGGTTCACTTGGATTGCCCGTTGACATCAGCTTAGAACTGGGTTCCAACTGATGGCCTGATGGAGAAGATGTACCAGTGGTAACATCATCAGGACTTCCATCCCCTCCTCGGTTGGTATCTCTGGGAGATACGCCTCGGGATGTTATTTCTAGCTCGACCATGCTAGAAAAGTTGGCTGTGGATGGTGGCTGTTGGTTTGTTGAGGTTTCGGGTTGGATGGGCTGTGGAGTTTGGCTTGGTAGAGCAGTTTGCTCAAGTGATCGAGATCGCTTGTTCTCCCCCTCATGAGGATCCGAATCATCGGGGTCCTCATGGGAACGTTTGCGACCACGAAGACTCTCCTTGCAAGTGCTCTTGGTTTCGGGTGAAGAAAGAAGGGCTTCAAGTATGACTTGCTGATGAAGAGTGAGTTTGTCTTCTGGGGTGTTTAAGAGGTTGTTCAGCAAAGTCGAAGCTAGTGTGTCAAAGGATAGTGAGGAGAGATCGATGGAGGGTGTGGTCACATATAGTGGTGAGTA